GTTTTTCCAGGAGAATGTGAAATGGGCATATGGTTTTTATTTTATTTGCTGTTTTGCTTCCGTGAGCATCTTGTGCTTCCTGAACGTGACTCTGGCATGCCTGTTTACTAAGGCTGTCCTGCCAGATGATAAGGTTTGCAGTTTCAGACTTCTTTGGCATCCCGGAGAGTTCCTGGGGTTTCACTTGTGCGGATGTTCCTGACAAACTTGGCCGTGCGCTGGGCTGCTGGATTTCTGCCACCATTTCTGTGGCATCTCTTCCCACCGTGTCTCATTGTTCCTGGGCTGTTACTTGGCGCATTGGTGACCAGCCTATTTCTAGATAGTTTCTCACAGTTTGGGTCATCTGTGACTTTGATCTCTTATTTGGATTGTTACTAAAGCACAATCGATGGTTTGCTTCCTCCCACTAAAGTCTATTATTGAGCAACAGAGGCTACAGATAGCACGAGAGATGCAGGGTTTCCAGGTTGCAGGCCCGTTTCTGGCCAAGCTTGGCCCGGCTTCCTTCCTTCTGCGGGAGCCTGGGAATGGACTCTGAATGGAGCTACACAGCCCAGAACAGAGGTCCGTCTGTTCGCGCTCGCCGCGGACTGAGCTTTCCAGGGGATGGGACAGGAAGGGGGACGAAGGCCTTTAACCAACGCCTGTCCTGATGCCCATCCTGTTGCTCGGGAGCCGGGAGCCCTCGCGACAGGGCGACCCCGATAAGCCGCGTATGTGAGGCGCTGCCCAGAGCTGAAAAGAAAGGCGAGGGCTGCACCTTCCCTCTGCTCTGCGACTTGCTTGGGGCCTGGGGGGTGCAGGGGGCAGACCCTTGGGTCCCCTCATCTGTGTGTTCCCCCTCCACGGAGCGGCCTTGCCCTTGCGGGAGACAGGCCCATACTCTTGGGGGGGTTCCCAGGGTGGCAGGCTTTTTCAATCCCCGGTCAGAGCACATGCAAGAAGCAACCAATGAATGCATAAATAAATGGAACAATGAATTGATAGTTTTCTTTCTTTCTCTCTCTCTCTCCTTCTTTCCTCCCTCCATCTCTCTCTAAAAATAAATAAATAAAATAATAATGTGTGCAATTCGGTGATTTCTGGTGTACTCACAGGTACATGCCCCCATCACCATAGTCAATTTTAGGACGTTTTCATTATCTCAGAGAGAAACCCTGTCCCCATAAGCCCCTGCCTCCTCAGCCTCCGGCACTCACCGGTCTGACTTCTGTCTTTACTGACTGCCTCGTTCTGGACGGTTCCTATGAGCGGAATCCGTGTGTGTGTGTGTGTGTGTGTGTGTGTGTGTTCCCTTTCTCCATGTGGTATTTCCGTGACTGGCTTCTTTCACTTAGCATGACGTTTTTAAGGGCCATCCACGTTACAGCATGTAACAGTGCTTCCTTCCCTGTTTTAAATTGGGGGCAAATACACACATCATAACACCACTGCCTGCCCCCTCTCAGAAATGTCCCCCTCTTCCCTGGCTGACTCGCTGTGCCCACGGCACCCTAACCCCTCATTGCCCTCCATAGCTCTCGGCCTTTGAAACTCATTAGCGCAATCAGAATCTGGTTTTAGCTGTTTTATATCCGTTTCCTGGAACGCAGTGTATAATTTTGATGTGCAGCCTTGCTGACACCTTGATTATAGCCCCATAAAACCTATTTTCAGGTGTTCGAACTCCAGAACTGGAAGATGATGAGTCAGTTGTTTTAAGCCCTAAGTTTCTGGCCACGCACTGCAGTGGCCGCAGGCGGTGAAGACACGCGTTCTGTGCGAGTCCGCGCGGGCCAGCCTTTCTGCAAGGCTCCTGGCGCCCTCGGCGTCCACTGCGATGTGCAGGGCGGCGCCCAGTGCCCTCCCGCTTTGTCTCCTGTGTCTCCTGGCCTCAGAGTTCAAAGCGAGGACCCCGGGGCCGTACAGCAGCATCCGAGCCCTGGCTGAGCCCCTTCCTTCCTGGCTGTGTGCCTCGACCTCCTGCCTGCAACGTGGAGGCGGTGCCGGCCTCCACCTGTAGGGGGGCTGGGCGGATGAGAAGCGTTAACCCTTGTTGAATGCTTAGACCGCTGTAGTACAGGGGCCCCGTGGCTCTGAGCTCTCCCTGTGACCAGTGAAGGCCTGCTCCTTTGCGGAGGACAGAAGTGGAGGGTCAGAGAGGTTTAGGGACGTGCCCAAAGTCGCACAGCTAGCAAGTGGCAGGCGTGGGGTTTGAATCCCAGGCTCCCTGGCTCCGAAGCCTGTGGTCTTCCTCATAGCATGATGCCTTCCCCAGGAAGAGGGGACTGCCCCTTGGGGAGCCAAGACTAACCCACCAAACCTGCGGGTGAACCATGTGAGCGAGCAGTTATCAAACATAACAGGGTGGAGTTTGGAGCAGAGAGAGAGACTCAGTGGGACGAGAGTGTTGCTGTTCGTTGTCGTTTTTGGAAAACCTTTATTGCGCATCCACGATTGTGGTTTGGGGGCCCCCGGGCCTTGGGGTTGAGGTTGGACCGTACCCCCCGGCCTTCAAGGAGCCAGCCGGTGAGATGGAAGAAGCCTCCTGGGGAGGTTGGATTTTGAACTTGGCCGTAAATGATAGGTCGTTTTTAGATAGCAGAGAAGGAGGAGTTTTCAGTTTGGAAGAACACCAGTAAGTGGCTGTGATAAGCTTTATCGGTTACTACTAGGTTTGAGCCTCTTAGAACAGAACACTCCAGAGTAACAGTGAGAGGCAGTGGGTCCGACAGCACAGAAATGCGTGTCCGTCTGTGGCAGGGCAGAAGTCGGCAGGCCGGGCCGCTGGGCCAGCGCCCAGGCTTGAGGGGGATGCGGACCCCTCTCGGCTAACCGCTCTGCCTGCCATTCCGAGGGTGCGGCCCTTGTTCTCGTAATCCAAGGACCCGCTAAAGCTCTGGCCGCACATGCCCCTCGGGACCCCAGCAAGAAGAACATGGGACAACGCTAGGTACTCCAACGTAGAGAATTTGCTAGAAGGACTGGAGCGGGCAGGTGCTCGGGGAACTGAAAAGGCAGGCGTGACTATTAAAGTGATAACCGCAGCAAGCAGCGCCACGCCTGGGCCTTGGCGAACAAGGGGGGGAGGCGGGGCTTATCAGAACCTGGAAACTCCAAGGAGGGGCCCCACAGAAGGGGGACCCAGCCTCCCAGCAGAAGGCACTGCCCGGCTGTCGCTGGCAGCACAGTCTGCGGGGCGTCCCCGTGGAGCAGGAGCCCTGACCTCGGCGCTGGTCCCTCTGAGAAGGGGCTCCGAGGCTGGCTCTGGGGCCGAGAAAGAAGTGGGCGCTGGAGCAGCAGCCACGGGTGGGCTGCGGGGCTGCTATTGCACCCTCTCCCTCCCCCTGCCTTCCAGCCCCGTCCAGGGCCCCCCTGCCCGCCCCCCTGGGGAGCAGCCCACCAAGGAGATCTGGATGGAGCTGGTGGAGTCCCAGCCTAGCGCCACAGCTGTAGAAAACGCGGTTAGTTTGCAGCTCAGACGAGAGGTCAGCCGCCGGCACGCCGTCCTCTCCTTGTTTCAGACCGCAGGTGGAGGGCGGGCAAGAGGGGGGCAAAGCGGGAGTGCGCCCTGAGTTGATTTCCCAGAAGTCACACAGGCCCAGCCTTCCACACTTCGTTCGCCCGCACTCGGTCGCCTGGGCCCACCCGGCTGTCAAGGCAGCTGCTGAGTATAGTCCCGCCGCCCGGCTCCTCCAACCCTCCCCGGCCTGGGTTCTGCCGAGGAAAGGGAGGCGCCGTCTGCCGCTGGAGCGCAGCCGTCAGAGTCGTCATGCCGGAGTTGGTGTGGCGACATCACCAACCTCGAGGAGAAAATGTCTCCCTGTTGCCTTTCTTCCCCACACGATCCAGCCGCGTCCCTCCCTGTGCACTTCTGCACGGTGCCCCCCGTGGTGCCCCCCGTCGGTGTGCGCCTGCAGTCCCTGCGTGGCTGGGGGCACGGCTGGGCCAGGCGGACTGTTCGCGGGTGGAACCGGGAAAGAGGCTGCCTCCTGGGGGTGTCGTTTAGAAAGCTGTGGTGTTCTTTTGCTGGTGACGTTTTGTCCGAGAGTCAGGCCTCGGTGTGGAGGCACCTGCCAGGCGGGTGTGGACTCAGGGTGCGCTGAAGTCACTGTCCCGTGACTGGGAACTCTGAGGACGCGTGCCTTGAGGGCAGGAACCAGATCCCATCTCAGGTCTGTGTTTCCCTGGCTTCCGGCAGAGTGCTCGGCTCCTGTGACAGTCCCTCGAGCTGTAGTCTCCAGGTCGGATTTAGCGGCTTGGGCGTTGCTGCAGGCGAAGCACCTCTTGTCCGTAATTCGGATGGTGTGGTGTTTTATCTTCTGTCGTTTATCTCCAGCCCTCGAGTTGGCTAACCGAGTTGGCTAACCTTGCTGTGCGCCCAGTCATTTCCTGCTCAGGCAGGTGCTTTGCCCCAAGGCTCTTCCTGGCCGAGTGACCTCATCATAACTTGTTTCTTGTCTTCAGTAGTCACAGGCTGGGGCGCTGAGGTCTCGCAGATGTTACCGGGTTTTCGGAAAAGGCATATTAGTCAAAATCAGTTGAGAAATGTTTAATAACACGAGTATGAGGGGGGTAGACTTTGGAACTGTACTTCAGGTGGGAAGTTCCGGAGGAGGGGTTTAGGTACTGCCCCAAGATTTTAGCCTGGGGATGATGGGAATCGGGCGTAAGGGGAGTTTGGGGTCCTGGAAGAATGTGGGGTTGGAGGGCTGCATCCGGGGTTCCCCACTCTGAGTGCTCCCGGTCCTGGTCGTTCTCTGGGGGCCGGGCCCGGGGCCCGGGGCGGGGCACACGTGCAGTTAGGGAAAACGCCCCCGGCTGATCCAGAAGACAGATCGGGGTTTGCCTGTTTGTGATGGGACTTATGGGGTTGATCTGAAAGCTGGGGCGTTAGTCGTGTACGTCGGGAGTCCCCTGCGAGACGAGCCCCTGGTTTCTCCACCCGTAGCCACGCAGGGGGAGTGACGTCCCTCCCTCCCGACACAGACGCTGACCATGCTCTCGTTTCTTCCCAGGGGTGGCCTCAGTAACATGCTGTTCCAGTGCTCCTTGCCCGACACTGTGGCCACCGTTGGTGACGAGCCCCGGAAGGTGCTGCTGCGGCTGTACGGGGCGATTTTGAAGATGGTGAGTTCCTAGGCTGCGTGGGGACGGGAGGGACCTGGTCACCGTTTTAATCCTCTTTCCTGAGAGATGTTAAATACTTTAGTGGTATCATTAAAGCTATGTCAGTGTATTGCTTTTATTGTAATTGGGCTTTTTATTTCTAAGTGAATTCCTGTTTTTACTTATTATTTATTAGAAAACTAGTATAAACATTTCCAGCTTTCTGTGCAGAGAAAGTATGATGTTGGTTATAGTGCTTGATGATGCTCGAGTTCTCCACACGCTGAGGCTGGGGCCCAGCTCAGCTGCAGCGGCCTGCAGGGGGGTCGCGGGCTCCCCCGCAGGCAGAGCCGGGTCTCGGGCACGCTGGCTTTCGTGGCTGCCTCTCTCGGTGATTTCTTTAAGACTCTGAACTTGTTAGATTTCTGTCTTTCGTAAGTTTCATATTGCTTAAATAATTGAATCTAATTTCTAATTAAAGTAGCTTATTTGTTAATTACCTTAACCAATTATAGGATATTCCAAATGTCTGGATTTTTTTTAACTATTTTTATACCATAAATTTACCATTTTACTGACCACACATACAAATGTTTGCTGGATATATTTCTATGGTAGAATTTTGATATTCAGTGAAGTCTTCTTTGGAAGGGCCCATTTTTATCTTTATTAAGCAGAGAAGGGTTTTCTGACTTTAGTTTTTTAAAACACTACTTTCAGTTCAGTCTAAAAAGTAGGTCATGTCCATGTCTATGCTAATTCGATTATGTTTAGGAATATTAAAAGTTCAGATTGGCACACTTGATGTTAAGTCATTTTAAAAATGGTCATCATTCGACTGGACCTTTTTTCACTGGATACTTCTTCCCTGACCCCGTCAAGCCGGGGAGTGGTTAGGGCCTGCAGGAGCGGGGAGTACGGCAGCGTGCTGCGGCTGTGCACACGGGGCTGAGGACACCTGCCCGGTCAGAGCGGACACGCCGGAGAGGCGACCCCCAGAGAGAGAGGGAGGGAGAGAGAGGGGGCAGGCGGAGGCAGAGGGGCCCCGCGGCGGTTGCCCCGCGCTGGGACAGCTGAGCTTTCACGGCGCTGTGGCAGGGGTTCCACCGTAAATTTGCACCCTCTGTCACTCAGTTTAAAAGTTCCTGAGATTGGTTCCTTCCCTGGGGAGTGGGTGCACTCAGAGCACTGGCTCATCAAGGCTCTGCCTGGCCCGTGCGGGAAGGAGAGAGGTCTGTGCTCTCTCTCCTCCGGTGACGCCGCTGCCCCCACAGCAAGGCCAGAGCCCGCCAGGACCCGCAGCAGCGTGTCGGGCTGGCGTGGGGAAGGAGTGTGGCAGGGCAAGCAGGGCGTGCGAACAACGAGTCACGTTCCTTTCGCAGAGGAGTTAGAGTCCAACTCAAACATTAGACTCCCCTTTTTTTCTTCGCCCGAGGTGAGAAGCACACACACACCTCTGCACGTGTTTGTGCATTTCTCCAAGCACAGCTGCTGGGGGGGGCAGAGCGAGCGCCTCCCTTGGAAAGGGTTAACTGACGGCTGCACTTACAAGTGTTCTGTCGGGAGGTTCTGCTTAGTTACATGATAGACCCAGTTCGTGTGTCCCTCGCTCCCCTTCTCCTTGTTTTAAGCTTCTGAAATTTTTTTTTATCTCTGAGAATCGAATATTAAGCAGAAATATTTCTTTGATTCACGCTTACAGTTATTTATAAGTGACTTTAAGTAATGAGATATTTCACAGTTTTTTTCATTTTTCTTTATTTCGGTGTTGCGAGATGTCTAACTTCCTTTATCTCCATAGTGGCAGTGAAATGACTGCTCTGTGGCGCAGCTCACTAAGGTTAAGTAGCAGAAGGCCAAGGTAAACCCTCCAGGTGCCCCGAGGCCCCCGCTTCCGCCCCCCAAACGCCAGTCCCCGCTCCCGTGTAAGACGAGCCGAGAGCAGACCGCCTCACTGTGCCCGGGCCTTGTCCGGGGTCTGCGTCACCTCGGAGGGCCTCATGCAGAGTCCCGTGTTGGACATGGGGAAAATGTAAATAAGATGAAGCACACAGCTTTGAAAAACAGCTGTACAAATATTATTTATAGGGAACGATCAAACATAAAAATACTGGTGCAATTATAAAGCAGTTCATGTCAATATAATTGAGTGTCTGTCTCACAGAGGGAGACTAGCTCTAATTTTAACTTGAACTTTTAAAAAGAGGGTTATTTTCAAATTCGCTGTATAGATGAAAACTGAATTCAACTATAAAATTGCCCTTAACTTAAAATAGGATGATTTAACCAGAGTTTTTCATGTTGCTTTGTTTTTGGTTTAATAGGAGGGTTGAGAAGAAGTGCTAGTTAGCTTTTGCCACTGCGGTAAGACACGTCACTGCCGGAAGAGAGCTTGACACTGAGAAGTTAGCTGTGAATGTCACTTGATCTCTTTCCTTTCTGATGCGGGGAAGGAACGTGAGCTGGGCAGCCTTTTCAAGGAAGCAAGTGTGGCTGATTACCAATAACCAGTTTGCTTGTTTCTCATGAATTGTGGAAGACACAAATGTCAGTACGTATCGTTCATTCCCTGTCGCCTGTGCCAGCTGGCGGAAGTCGCGGAGGATCGCCTCGCCCCTCCTCTGGCGGAGCCGCGGCTGCGCCGGCCGATCCCTCCCGTGCACGGATGGAGAGATCCGGCCCCGCGTGCTGAGCGGTCCCGCAGGCATGGGTGTGACGGCACACGTCGGAGATCTCTCGTGTTGTCTGAGAAAATGTTTCTGTTTTGCTTTTCCAGTAATAGAAGGCTAATGTTAGTGCTTGTGTGAGTACTAACCGTAATACAATGAAAGGGATCAAGGCACAACGCAGATATGTGTGAGCGATTCAGAAGACTCGGGTCTGGCACCCCGGCTTTTCTGAAAGCAGGGAACAAAACACCGATTTCCCTGCTTCCTCGTAAGCCCCCGTTGAATCAAAAACTAGACCGCACTGAAGCACGGAGCAGCCCGTCGTCAGCCGGTAGTGGACTGCCGGCTGCTGAGAAATGGGCCCGTGGCCTGGAGCGGAGGTCGGTTGCCACTGCCGCGCGCACGGTGTGGCGGGGCCCCTTCACCGGGGCCCGAGAGCGCGCTCCTGGGGCCCGAGCGCTCCAAAGTTTGCATTTTTTTTTCTCATCGTATTAGGGCCATACGAGTTTTAAAAAAAAAAAACCTCCCTGTACCCCGAGTGTGGGGTCAGCGTGCCCGTCTGTGAGGCTGTCAGAACCCCCCCCCGCTCAGAAGCCAGGCGTCTGTCTGGCGCTGCAGCCCCGTCCCCATTGGGTCTGGCCCAGCGTCTCCGCAGCCAGCGCTCACCAGAGCGTCAAATGACGATGGACCCCCCTTCCATACCTGCTTGGTGCCTTCTTTTGATAACTAAACAGCCCGCACATGACCGTGTCTAACTCTGACATGTTCCAAGTGTCTCTGTCTTGCTGGTCTTACATTATGTCTGAGATTTATAGCATGAAGCCAATACCGGTTCCCGGCCCCCGGAACGACGGTGTGAGCACCGCGGCCCGCCCCTCTCGGGAAGGAATGTCTCTGTGCTGGGTGGCGCGGAGGGGACGGGGTGACGCACCACCTTAGCCGTCTGTGCATGTGTTCTCTGCTGCAGGCTTGCCCATGCGATCGTGCCTGGCGCACTCTGGTTTCCAGGTGACAGACACGATTCACGGTATAGTATGAGTCCTCTGAAGCCGGAGCGTCCTCTACAGCTTCAGTTTCCTCCTCTTGGTTCTCGGGTTCAAGACTTGCTTTTTAAAGAGAAAGCCGTAATGCTCGTGTTAAGTGGCACCAGCTACAGTCTGTGCTGTGTGGAAAGAGGTGCAGTGATTCAGGTGTCAGAATGCTATGTACTGAATACATGCCTTTTTGCGGGGGGTGGGGGGGTTGTTTAGCTTTTGTCCAAGGCAAATCAGATCCCCCTCTTCTGTTTCCTCAGTAGAAAATGACGTTCCGTAATTATAGCAATTTATGGGCCCCCGCTCGAGAAATCAGTTGGGGTGCTAACCTTCTTCCTTCGTACCACTGTCAGCACTCAGGAAACACCACGCTGTTTTGGTCAGAGTTGGAAACAAACTCCCCCACCTTGCCCGGTCAGCTGGGTCCTCAGTCGCTTCACTCCGTTCGGCAGTGCTGACCGGAGGCACAGGCGTGCGCAGGCTGGGGCAGCCCCGGCGCTCCTCCTGGTCCTGCGGACGCGCCGCTGCCGAGGCAGCCCGCAAGCTGTTTACGGCACAGGTGCTCTCACCTTGGGCGCCTCGGGCATCTGGGGGCAGCAGTCACCCTGGGTCAGACATGAAGTTTCAAGAAGGTCCTGAAGGGAGCCTTCTTAACCAAGACTTCCACGCACCTGTCTTTTCTTGCTTAGTCTGCAGAAGTTCTAGTCTCCTGCTGGTGTTCATCAGGTCATGCAATTTTGCAAAGTTAAGAAGGGTCAAATTATTTTAGAATATTCCTTGGGGTAATTGAAAATACTCTAGAAACTACCATGAAATATTAGAACTCACTTGTCTAAATTCTCATAATTCATATGTTCTCCATTTTAAACGATTGCATGTGCATCTCACATTTTAATGTTACGTAAAATATTTTCAAGAAATGTTGTAAGGAACCATAAAAGCGATAATGACACAGAGTACTTTCCTAGGAACCCTGGAGAAGGAAGGTCAGGGTCCAGGCGACAGTGAGAAGAAAGCACGCTGCAGAAGACGGCCGTCCCTTCTGGGGAGGCGAGATTCTCAGGCCCGCCCCGCCCAGCGCCCCGGAGAGGGATGGAGTCCCGTCATTAGCAGGCGCCCGCCCCGTGTGGGGAGTCTGTGCTCTCCTGCAGGGTTGAGTGTGGCCAGAAACTGAGGGGGGCGGTGGTCTTAGGAGTCTTCAGAGCCAAAGGCCGCACAGTAGAGAAGCCCTGTTGTATTTGACAGAGTGCCTCCTTCTTTATTGTGACATCATCTGTAACTGACGAAGATTTCCTAGGCAGCGTTTCCAGTTTATTCCACTGTGGACGACAGGTCCTTCTTTGTAGCTGACTCCTGACTTCTCCCAGGCTGTCCCACCAGCGGCTCCCCAGTTCCGGATCTCTAAAGATACTTTGCAGATAAATGTTTCAGGCAGTGCAGATGACGTTGAGATAGCTGTATGCCACTTAAGGCCACTCGCACTGGTTCATTTATACACACGCACCCACGGTCTCTGGGGGAAGCCCACGGCCCCTTTGCTTTGTCTCCAGGGCTGTGGCGGTGCTCAAGCACTTACTCGTAAAACTGGTTCCCTCCTCGCTGGAGGGACTTCAGTTGAAAACTGGCCAGTGGCAAGAGCTTACCTTGCCCAATGGCTTAAACAAATTTAAAGAAATAAACTGGTTAGATTGTGAAACAATCACGTGATATTGCCTCATCTTAGCCCCTGAAAGATGCCTTACTGGCTGTAGATTTTCATCTTTGCAAATCACGAAACAGAACATTTTGAAAAGCAATAACCTGTAATATGGACATTTACTTTTTTAATGGTCTTTTAAATACAGAGCCTTTAAATATCATTTTTGTCAGAAAAGGCAACATTGGAAACCTGTATCAAATACATTTATTATAAAAGTAACATACTTTAAACACTTTTAAAAATATGGAAGTATGTAAAGTATAGAGCAAAAGTCCCAATTTTGTCATCTTCCTTCCTAATAGAATTTAGGCTTTTAGGAGATTAGTTTGTGTGGATTCACTGATTTGAGAGAGAGGAAGGGAGGGAGAGAGACAGACGCCGACCCCCCGCCCAGCCCATGTCCGCCTTCAGTGGTTGAGTCTGGTATGCGCCCTCACCTGCCTGGGGGTCAGACCCGCACCCTGGGCGCATCAGGGTGGCGCTCACACCAGCTGAGCTCTCCGGCCAGGGCTGAATGTAGGTTTTAGATTTAGAAGTTCTTGGCCAGTCAAAATCTGTTTCAGGTTTTAAAGTCTTCTATAACATTAAAGCAAAATACAAACCATACCCCTTTACTATTATTGCTAGCACTTCAGTCCGTTTTATTTCCTGTATCACAGTCTGATGAGTACGTGGGTTGTGACGAATACTTACACGTTCTCTTGAAAACCAAAATCGGAGGAAAAGGATAAGGAAGACGGAAGGAAGCCGGTGGCAGTTTATTTTATTTTTTAAATATTTTATTTATTTTTAGAGAGGGAAGTGGGGAGAGAGAGAGAAGAGAGGAGAGAGAGAGAGAGGGAGAGGGAGAGAGAGAGAGAGAAACATCAATGTGCAGTTGCTGGGGGCTATGGCCTGCAACCCAGGCATGTGCCCTGGCTGGGAGTCGAACCTGCGATGCCTGGTTCCCAGCCCGCACTCAAATCACTGAGCCATACCAGTCAGGGTGGCCGTTTATTTTTAATTATCGCTGTTCACATTTCAAACACAAACATTTTCCAGTTCTATTTTATAACTCACGAAAGCTAATTTTTATGAATATACAAATTGGGAAGAAATTGTGGATCGTGTTAAATATTTGTACAATATATTTCCATATCCGCCTCAGACAAATTTGTGCCTCTGGAGTGAAATCTCACAGATACCAAGGTGTTTTCTACTTACTGTTTTCCCAGACAGAAACGCACCCTGACCTCTTTCTGGCGACGTGGGTCTCTCTCTGCCTGCTCGCACCTTCTTGCGCTGGGACTTACCGGGCTCCTGGCAGGACCGAGGGAGCCCTGAGCATTTTGTACTGAGGAAACAGAACAGGAGGCTGGCCGTGGCAGAAGTCCATCTTGCCTTGACGATGGTGCTCTTGTGGAATAAGTAATGCACGCCCTCGGGGTGGAGAGCCGTGGGCAGGGCGGGGAGTCCTCGGCACCGAGTGCTGCTGCGTTCCAAGGGACGGCCTTGGGAGCTAAGCCAGTTCAAACTTGGGGTGAAGTGACTTGCTTTTGAGAGCACCATTTAAGACAAGGAAAAGGGACTTCTGTTGGCTTAATAACCCTTAACTGTATCTCCCTAAGAAGATACAGTTAGAATGATAACAGCATAGGAATAACCATGGTCATTTAGGGTTCCGGACAGGTCAAATCCCGTTACAGCAGATTTCACAGGCTATCCAAATGCCTTGATTGTCTTAAAGCCTTGCCTACAAAGTATCAATATGCAATATATCAGATGATAGAACTTGTTTTGTGCTTCATTTTCCTCGGGGAGAAAAAGCACAAGGACATGTTTTGGGGAATTTCAGCCCCATTCAGTGTCCAGCTAACACCGTAGCCCGTTTTCCTGCTGCTGGGATCCTGGATGTGAGTTTGCCGTAGCGGGCTGGTGCTGCCACCCTAGGCCCTGCCTTGAGCTGGCCGCCTTGACCTTCGCAGTGCCGGAGTGTTGATACACTCGTGCCATCCCAGAAGTGTTCAAGCACCAGGATTTGCTCGGTGCTTTAGGGAAAGACATAGATCCAAAATGGAGTCCGTATTGCTAGGTAACAAACAGGCCCCTAGGGCCAGGAGACCAAGTGCAAGGTCACAGCGGGGCCGTGAGAGTATTTCGGAGTGAAGGGGGAGTAGAGCTCTCGTGGCACCTAGTCGCTCCCCCTGGGGAGCTTTATCACCTCGTGCACCGGCCCGGCAGCAAAGGTCTAAAAGTATTTCCGTGGTGTTCACTGTTGTAGCACTCATTGTAACGGGATTTAGCCTGTACCACCTTTCTTTCGTCAGAGAGATGCAGATTATTCAAATAAAATGTCACATGCCCCATTTGTGTTCTCCGTATTTGGTACACAATGCATTTAACTGTGTGCAGATCAAGATGCTACTGAGTATATGTAAGTGCAAGTCTCTACAGAGAGCTTCACGAACACGAGTATTAATTTTGTTTACTTTTACATCGAGTAAGCTAGAACACGTACTGTTCATATGAAACGCATTAAACTGTCTGTGGAATGTTATTTCCCTGTATGATGGGTGCGAGTGTCGCTTTGAAACGCTGGGTGTTTTTGAATGGTGCTAGAGTAGCTGGTGTTGCTTAACGTGGCATTTTTTTCCCTGTCCACACGTCCCACCCCTGGTGCAGGTGTGTTTGATAAAGCTGTGGAATGGAAAGGTATGTCTTCTGTGGGGCGTCCAGGAGCCTTTTCCCATAGCATGTGTAGAGGGCCCCCTTTGTGGGCTTCCTCCCGCGTCTGACATGAGCAGACTGTAGTTTAACTTTAACAACGTACTTCTCGAGGCAACATTGGACATGAGATTTTGACCTCACACTTAAGTTTCTGACTTGTTTTCCCCATCCTCTGATTAAAAGCCCGTATGAAAGGCTTGGGGGGTGGGGGGTTGCTTTTAGAAGATATGGTCTGTGCTCTGAAGAAAGAACGCAGCCAGAGTTGCAGACGGTAGCTGCTCTTACTGCCAGGATCCTGGTTACCAGGCATTTGCAACTTCATGGAGGAAAGGGATGTAAAAGCATCCCTTCATACGTTAATACGTGAAAGAAGTCTAGCGAGGTTTAGCGACCTGCCCCATTTGCACAACCCTCTTTTCAGTGGAGGACAGATCATACTGAGGGGGACGGGCGGAGTGAGCGTGACAGGGGACAGTTGGGCAGGCTCGTCCACACAGATCCTTCTGTGCCCGAGTTCTGTGCTGGCCACGCGTGCCACAGGCAGGGGTGCCCTCCCTGTTCTTCCAGGGCTGGAGACCCGCCTGGCTAAATTGTTGCCGCTCGGCTTGACCAGCTGTCTGTAGAAGGCCCGATCGCAAGGGCGCCCTCTGCTGGCCTCCCTCGAACGATGAAACCGTGAGGCGGCACACCAGAGCGGCTGCCGGTCACAGCCGTTGCGGTCTCCACCGCGCATCCCTCTCCCTGTAAAGACACAAAGCGGTTCCTTGGGCGCTGGTGCTAGTGCCGGGCCCTGGTGGCGCGTTTGAGACGCCAGTGGGCTGAGAGGCGCTCCTTAAACACCTGTGACGCTTGGTTAACCCTGGCGGTTCTGGTGGTTGCAAAGGTCGTGCCTGCTCGGCGGCCCCCGTCTCACCGGAGGTGTTTGCTTTCTCTCATTCATAGAGGTCCTGTAATAAGGAGGGATCCGAACAAGCTCAGAATGAAAATGAATTTCAAGTAAGTAACGAAGCCCGTTCCGCGTCTGTGTCGTGAGGTGTGGCCGTGGGAGCCGACCCCGGCCCCTCTGCCGGGGCAGTGCCTGGAGAACCCCGGTCCCGTGTCTGTGTTGGAGGGTGGGCTCTCCGTGCGTGGGAGCCGTGGGAGCCGTCTCGGGAAGGCTGAGAGGGCGGTGGGCGTCCCCGACCCCCACTGAGAGTCGGGTGGTGCCCATGCGGTATCTTCAGGGAGACCCGGGGAGCACCTGGGGTGCCGAGAGATGGCAGTTTGAGGTGTCACTTGTCCATGATGTCCCCGTATGGAGGCAGCCTGGGTCTCGCTGCCGCTCCGAGTCTGTCGCTGCCCGGGTGTCTCGGTGGCCACCCTCCCTGGGGCCCGTGGGCGTGTTTTTTCTTACTCAGGGGACCCAGGCAGGAAAGGCGCCTTCCCCGGTTACAGGGTGTGGGTGGGAACGATCCCACTCTCTGAAGTGTGTGGGTTCAGAAGAGCCCGGGGTCACGAACCCTGGCGTGTCACGTGGCCACCCTGTGAGGCTCAGATGCAGGGAGTCCGGAGCAGTTACCCCCCGTCCCAGGGAGGAGACGGCTTTGGAATGTTCCCTCCCAATGCACGGGGGTTTGCACAGAAGGGGTGTGTGTGTGTGTGTGTGTGTGTGTGTACACACAGAGATTACCGGCTTTACTAATTACCAGCTGTGTGCTAGTCATTAAAGTAATTAAGACCTTAAAAAGCAGTGAGATTATAAAGGAATGGAAGGGCTGGTGGTTTGTCTGCGTGTTGTCCTCGGTGGGTGGCCTTGACGCGCCCTGCTCTGGAGACCCCGGTCCGGAGGGTCTGGGCCTGGCTGAGAAGTCCCGGGTGGGGCGTGGCGGCCGGACACGCAGTTCTCCGCGGGCAGGCCTTCGTGCCCCCGGGGGCTTGGAAATGCCGTGGCACCCAGCCCCCGGTGATGCTACAGCCCCAGGGTACTTTCAGTTCTCACTTCACGTGGACTTTTCCACGGCATTTGACAGCACCCCCAGCCGTTCTGAAATGGCCCCCCCCCCCCCCCGCCAGGGCGGCCGGGACACAGACCCAGCCAAGACCTGTCTCGTCTCTGCTGCTGCTGCTGCTCCTCGTCTCCCTCCTGGGCTCGCGTCCCGCCGCGCTAACTGGTAGACCGCCCCACGGTCCGGCCCGGAGCCCTCTTCCCGTGCTGCCCTCCCTCCTCAGGCCACCTGACCAAACCCTGTCCTTGCATTTCTACCATGGGCCAAGTTCACGGCTCCCGTCCTTCCCAGATCCCCACCGTCTGCTCTCGGCCTCTCCTCGGGCACTCGCTTTCCTGACGGGACGGCAGTGAGGCGCGCGGAGACCCAGTGGTCGCAGAAGGGCCACCAGTGCTCCGTGCGCCCGCTCCGCGGTTGCCCCCGGCCGGGCCCCCCACACCTGCCCGTTCGTCTTACTTGTGACTCCGTGTTCTTGTTCCTTTTCTCCTTCCTTTCCAGATCCTTCCCTCCACATACCGTCCCCCCTTTCTCCCTGTTGTGCATAAGTGCTGAGCTGCAGGATCACACAAGAACAAAGACTTTCTTGTTTACATTGTTCGCAGCAGAGCTACAGAGACGGGAGCGTCCTCAGGTCTTTTCCCGCCTTCCTTCCTGGCGGTGGGTCGCTCGGCTCTGGGGGTTCTGGGTCTCGCGTGCTCAGCTGCGTCGGGCGCCCAGGAGCCGGCGTGCTCGGCGGCCACGCCGTGCAGAAATGCGTCCTGAAGTAACGACGTGTCGCTCGTGGACCTTGCAGCCCCGGACTCTGAGGGGCAGCTGCACTGCGCGCATGTGCGTGTTCTACGCAGTGCCAACCTCAAAGCCCTGTCGCCGTGTTCCGCTGCACAGGAAAACCAGAGAGGAATTTCAACTCCAACAAAGTTCAGGGCCTCCAGACAGAAGACATCCTAGTTGTGCCCCTCGGAAACGCCTGGGGATGGGTCAGAGTCTTGGACGGGAGGTCGTACAGATGGTGAAGAGCCGCTAATGGCAGACCGCCGGTCTGGCCACCTGGGTCAGCAGCGCCCTGGCCCTGCCCCTGCCTCTGCAGTCCCTCTTGCCTCCCCTGGGGGCGGCAGAGCAGGGTTCGAGTGGAGAGTCGAGAGACACTCCGCAGACCCTGGTGCACTCTCCGGGGGGCGTCTCTGGTGCCGGGCCCGAGGCCAGACGCAGCCCCCGCACCTCGCACAGGTTTGCTCTCAGGTCAGGTGCGTGAGTGAGGAGGACACTTCTCCAGCTACATAGAGATGTCAGGAATGTGTCGCCCACCGTTAAGAGTTTAAAAATAAGCCCCATCGGAAGTCCAGTCCAGTCCTGCTCTGAAACCCATCAGTGTCTGATGGGTCGACGCTGCGTCCCTGGCGTCACTGCGTCAGGCTGTCGTCACAGACGTCTCCTCGGGGCGGAAACAGCAGACCTGGGTTTCCGCGGGTCCGGCGGCTGGCGGTCGGGGTGCCCTCCCCCCGCCTCGCAGACACCCTCCCGCTCGTCCCTCACGTGGCGGAGGGGGACAGAGGACGAGCAGAGCTCTCCCGTGAACACTGACCCCTGGGACTCCCCCTCAGGCCCCCCCCAAACCAGTCACGTCCCAAAGGCCCCGCCTCCAGGCTCCCTCGTGCCGGGGTGGGGCCTGCAGCGTGTGGGCGTGGGGGGCTCCCAGTGTGGGTCGTAGCCGTCACCTACGCAGAACTGGAGTAAATCAGGGTCGGGCCGCACAGGATGGGGCTCAGGCCACAGTTGTGGGGGTCACACAGGAGGGCGGCCGGACGAGAACGGTGGGGGTCCGCGGCAGACCCACCTGCCCGCCAAAGGCACAGGGCGGCCCCCACTGGGGGGCAGCCCCGCGTCCCCACGAGGAGTGTCTCTCCTCGTTTCCCGCGTCTCCGTTCATTTCTGTGGCGTGGGCGTGGCTCCAGGGGCTCCACTGCGTTCTGAACCGTGTCTGTCCGGATTGTGTTCCCCGTAGACGTTCCTGTTTTCTCCTTTCTCTTTTAATTTTTTAAGTTTTCATTTACCGTGGACATGTGGTAGTGTGGGAGTAACTAGGTGACCGTGACGTCGCGTCTGGCACCCACCTGACGCCCACGCAGTTGTTAGGACGTTCCCCATGTTCCCTGTGAGGCAAGCTGCGTCCCTGTGGTGCTCTGTGACCACCAGGTTTGCGCTTCTTTGTTGTAGTGAGTTGGGAGACAGGCAGGCAGACGTCCGTTTGTTCCGCTTACCTGTGCGGTCTCGGGTGAGTCTCGTCTGTGTCCTGCCGAGGGATCGAACCCACCCCCCTGGCACACCGGCACAACGCTCTAACCGCCTGAGCTACCCGGCCGGGGCTGCCTGTTCACTTGTTTTGTTGTTAAGATTCAGTTGTTGATAGATTTGTATGTGTTGCCATTTTACTCGTGTTTTCTATCGTGTTCTTCCTAAGGAAGACACTCACATCATACTGACTCGGTGGTGAGGAACTCCTTTAGCTTGTTCTTGTCTGGGGAGTTCCGTATGCGACCTTCCGTTACAAGTGACGGCTTTGCTGGGGGGGGCAGTCTTGGTTGTAGGTCCCCGCATTTCATCACTTTGAGTTACTGCTTGCCTAGTCCCTCCTTCCTGCAAAGGTTCTGTTGGGACATCATCTGACAGTGTTGTAGGAGCTCCCTTCCAGGTAACTAACTGCTTTTCTCTCGCCGTTTTTAAGATTCTCTCTGTCTTTAACCTTGGATAACTTAACTGTGGCGCGTCTTGGCGTGGGCCTCTCTGGGCCCATCGTGTGTGGGACGCTGTGTTTTCTGGACTTGCGTCTGGTTCCCCACCAGCTTGGGGGCGGGGGGTCTCCGCCGCCACTCCTCCACGCGGGACCAGGTTTGTCTCGCCCTCCCTGGTCTCCGGCAGCCCCGCGGTGCACATGTCGGTGCGCTTGACGGTGCCCCGGGGCTCCCCAGACTGGGCGACCCTGCCTGCAGGGAAGCACTCTGATGCCAGGCGGCCCGGGTGGCCTGGGCCCTCGGTGACGTCCCATGTGTCGCCCTGTTCCAGGGAGCCGAGGCGATGGTTCTGGAGAGCGTGATGTTCGCCATCCTCGCGGAGAGGTCGCTGGGGCCGAAGCTGTACGGCATCTTCCCGCAGGGCCGCCTGGAGCAGTTCATCCCGGTAAGAGCTGGCCACTGGCCCGTGGGGCGGGGCGCCCACCACGCGGAGGGCGGAGTCCTTGCCTTGTGGCTGCTGGCGCCCGAGGTGCCGGGACTGAAAGGGTCAACGTGACCTGTGTCGGAAATAAAGAAAAAACAAATTTCTGTTGAATGTGCATCAGACCCTGTCTTTTCTGCAAGGGTACGTTTATCCAAATCAAAAATGCACGTGAGACATAACACCCGTTGTCCCCCCGAAGCTGCCTGCCCTGCGCTGCTCGCACCTGCGGGGCCCCCTTGCAGGCCTGGCTGCACAGCGCGTGGTCCTGACCGCCCTGTGCCCGCCCCCGTCTCTGCCAGAGAGGCCGCGGCTGTTCTCTGCCCTGTCTCCTGGTGTCCTCCCTGTCCCTGTCCCTGTCCCTGTGCAGCCGCCGGGCTCCTCTCACCTGTCCAGGCCTGGCTGGGACTCTGTTTCCGGGTCGAGGCTGCTTGCTGGCCTGAGGCAATGTGGACATTGCTCTAACACCTGGTAGCCCAGCCGTGCTTCGAGTTGGGAGTGGGAATCCCACCCTTCCCGCCCCTCCCACCCCTATCACCCCTCCCTGCAGCAGGCTGGCCTCAGGGACTCCGGTTAAAGTGAGTCTGGGTGTGGGCAGTAGGTCCTTTGGGTGCAGACGCTGAGCCTCGCCGGCCTGCGCCCCCCTTGCGCCAGGCCTGCAGGTGGGAGAAGGGAGCCCACTCTAAACCTGCGAAGCTCCTTGAGCACTAGGGTCGCTTGTGTCCGCTTTTCCAGGCCCCGCCTCACGCGGTGTCTTAGCCCTTGTGTCTGCCTGCAGCGCTGGGCACAGGGACTCCTGGCCAGGGGATGCTCTGCTTGCCAGGACTCTGCCTGTGTCCAGCCGGGGGCTGCAGGGGAGGGGGCTTCTTCCGTCTAAGCCCACCGCCCACAGCGGCGGGTGCCTGCCGGCTGCCACCCTGGGGCTGCTCAGAGCAGTGGGCATTACTTGTTCTACGAGTTCTCTTTAGTCTCTGCCCAGCACGTGCCTCGGAACCTGGTGGTAGTTTTCTTTACATTTTCCCCGGGAAAGATAGTAAATCTGTCTGGCCTGAGAATCAGATGAGATCGTAAAAGTGTTTGAAAGTATGTTGCAAATATAAGACTTCCTATGTTGATAAGTGGCAACATGGTTGCATCTTAAAAACAGTATTGGCAGATAAAGCCAAACTGCAGAAGGTTGCACGTAGTATCATGCTGTTTTGGTGAGGCCCCGTAGGAGCAAGATGAAACTTGCTTCACACATACAGGTGCGGGAAAACCTCTCTCTGCAGAAAAAGCAGGGAGCAGCTGACCACGGCTCTAAACTGGGGCTGCCTCGTGGGGGCGGGGCTGGGTCTGCAGCGTAGCTCCGCCCCTGTCCCGGGCTGCGTGCTGGCCTGTGTGTGGTTTCTAGCGGCGTGTTCTGGAGAGGTTCTGTTACAGTACCGGGGGACTGCTGTGAAGCTGCCGACAGGTGACGGGTTTTGGCCACAGAAATGGCGATTTCACGTGGCTAAACCTGATTCCCTGTGTTATTTCCAGGTTGGCTCTGGACCGTGGCATGGGGCAGGATGAACCCCCCTTTGAAAGGGCACAGGCGGGCAGTGGTCTCTCGGGAGGGAGACAGTCTCTGATACGTCCCCCCCCCCGCACTGGGGACGGACTCAGGACCCCGAGACGCTCTGTCTCAGGCACGTTGAGAGCGCATTGGCTTCACGTTTCCCATGTGGCCGAACAGGTTGCTGGTACTTGGTAGCCGCTCTGCAGGCCGAGTGAGTTGCTCTCATCAGTCCTCAGTGTCCTGCTGCTGGAAGCCCCGCCCCTGTCGTGTGTCACGGGCACTTGTGGGGGGCCCAGAGTCGAGGGGAGCTCGGAGCCTGCGGTTCTCCGTGGGCCTCGGCCCCAGTCGTAGGGCATCTGTGTGTGGGGAGAGCACACGCCGGTTAGGTGCTGGCCCAGGGCCTCGTCCGCACTGCCTGCGCTAGCTCACCGCAGCGCAGCCCCCCCAGGGGCTCCCTGGCACGCTGGCACTTACAGACTCGGAAGACGGGGCGCGGGGTCTAAGCGGTGGGCCCTCGGCTCCGCGGCTCTGAAATGGGTGTGGAAGCCGGAAGTTGAGAGGTGGTTTCTGGCTGGGCGCATTCACTCCTAACCCCTGGGCTGCCCCACTTGGGGTTTTCGGAGAAATGCCTTGGGGTTTTTCTAGGGCGCCAGTTCGTGTGGGAAAGACGGACTGAGTTCCCCATGGCCAGCTGTGGCCACACAGGTGTAGCCGCACAGGCTGCGTTAGGAAGCTGGGGCTGAGTCCCCCTGGCTGGGCGCCTCTGCTTCTTTGTCGAGAGCCTTCTCTGTGCCAGGCTAGGTGGGTGCCGGGGACACCCCGTGATCAGTGGGGCGTGGCTGGACTGCGTGGGTCCCTGCGGGCTGTCCCCGCTGACGAGGGCCGGAGGCCTGGAGTGTCGGCCGCGGACGCGCTCGTCCACTTCCTGCGCTAGAGGCAGAGTCAGCAGAGGGCAGAGCCACCGACCGGACGTGCAGCGGCTTTCTCCCGATTAAAGGGGTTCGAGGCGAAGTCAGTGTTGGAGGGTGGCCAGCCCCTCGCTAGGAGGTGCCCTGGCAGTTGCCGGGCCGCCGTCTGCGGGCACAGGGGCCGTTCTTGAGGGAATTTCGTGCCCTGGCTGCAGACGCAGGAGCCCCGCAAAACCTGGCGTTTCCTTCTCAAAGGCGGTGCGAGCTCCCCCTTCCTCGACCACCCGGGTAAACGCCGTTTCCAACCCTCTGATTTCAGAGCCGGCGACTAGACACCCAAGAGTTAAGTTTGCCGGCTATTTCTGCAGAAATCGCCGAGAAAATGGCCACATTTCACGGGATGAAAATGCCATTCAATAAGGAACCGAAATGGCTTTTTGGAACGATGGAAAAGTAAGTGGTCAGCCCCTTGGCTCTCACTCCCGTGTGGGCGGCCCCCGGGCTCGGGGCGAGCACGGCTGGCCCCCCGTGGGGAGGCCCCTGGGATCTGCTGGAGCGTGGGTGGGCGGAGTCTGCCCCGTGACCCGGTCTCTGTGGCACGTGAGGTCAGCCCCTGAACCGGGAAGGGAGACACTGCAGACGTGCCGTAGAGCAGGGGGGCGGGCAGAGGGTCTGCCTCCCAGAGCGCCCTGAGCCCCGGGCCCACCCACCCTGATTGGCCTGCCCTGATTGTGTGGTCACATGTGACTTGAGCCCAAGGACAAGCCGCCGCGAATTGAGTAATGCTTTCGTGTCCCCCTTTTTCGCAAGATACTTAAACCAGGCGCTGAGAATCAAGTTTCCCGGGGAAGCCAAAATGAAGCAGCTCCACAGACTCCTCAGGTACAACCTGCCTCTGGAGCTGAAGAACCTGCGGTGAGTGCTTGCTGCCGTTTTCGGACTCGGAGAGCACATCTGTCCGAAAGTTTAAATGTTCTCAGTCGCTAAAACGTTACCAGTTACCACTTACGGAGCGTGGCCTCGGGTCTGGCGTTCATGGTGGCTCTGCAGGCCGGGTTCGGACAGTGGGCTTTGTCGCCCGGAGTTGGTTTCGCATGAGTGACGTGGCTTTCCGGTCGCCCACGAAGGGTTCGTGGCTGGGTGCGGCTGCATGGGGGCGGTCGGAGACTGGGTCTTCTGAAACAAAACCAAAACGGCCTGCCATGGTGGCAGCTGGGGGGTGTCATGCAGTGCGGGGAAACAGGAAGAAGCCTGCCATCGCTCGCTGAGGAGACGCCACCGCGGCGTTTTCAGGGTGCGGGCTCCCGGCACACTCCCCCCGAGCGGGAGCACGCAGGCGTCCAACCCCTCGGTCTTCGAGGGCCCGCTGGGCGGTGATAGAGCCCAGACGTTCCTCAGGAGCTTCCGTTGTGTCGAGGCAGACGGGACCGGAGTGGACACACACAGTCACGCTGAGCTGGGCCAGGTGCTGCGAAGGAAACCAGGGGACAGAGTGGACTGACACGGAGGGTGTGTTCTGGCCGGTGCTCGGAGCTGGCCCCTGGAGTGGGGACCGCGGGCCAAGCGGCAGCTGTGTGTGGGGGGCCCCCCAGGAGAGGAGCGGGGAGCAGAGCCGGAGCGCCGGTCCTGCCGCCCACACTCGGGCCTGCCGCGCCCTGTGGATGGCAGGGTTTCCACGGCCCACGGGACAGACGCCGCCTCAACTGCAGGCCGCCTTGGCGTGCCGGCGGTGCGGGGCGAGCCGGACACACAGGGCTGTCCGCGCCAGAGTCTCGCGGGCTTGGTGAGTGACGGCGGCCCCTTCCTTGCAGGTCCTTGCTGGAGTCCACTCCGTCCCCGGTCGTGTTCTGTCACAACGACTGTCAGGAAGGTAAGAGCTGCTGCCCCTGGCGCACGCGCGCTGAGAGACAGCCTCCGGGTGCGGGGGGTGCGGGCCCCAGGGAGGGGGAGGGGCAGGGGCATGACGGACCACAGCCGGACACGAAGTTCTGCGTGACTCTGAGAGAGGAAGAAAGAGGGCGCGTTTCACACAGACCAGCAGGAAAGTCTCCAGGGCATGGTACAAGACAAAGGCGCGTTTTAGGAAAACGTGTAGGGTGCAGTCCCATTTCTGTAAAGAACTGTACTCGTAGCAGGAATCAGAATATCCGTCAAACTGGGAGCTGGGGGGGGAGGCCTTAACCTCCCGAAGGCACCCGCTGCTGCTGCTTCGCTGTTCTGCGCCTTTCTGGCCCCGCCTCCGGGCCCCGCCTCCTGGCCCGCACTGGGGCCCCGCCCTCTGCAGCGAGCTGCACTGGCTGGGTGGGCTGGGCGTGCAGGGCGTAGACACGCGGGCCGGTTTTGTGGGTGAGGGAGGTCCACTGGCCAGTGCTGGTGGGCGTGTGGGGAGGAAGGGGGGCCCCATGCGAGTGAGGTGTGCGTTAGTTACCGAGTTCTGCTCCCCGGTGGGCGCGTCTGCCTCCACTTCCCGCCACAGCCACTGGCAGCAGGAGGCGCGTGGTCAGCAGCCTGGACACAGCCCCCCCCCCCCATACACACACACACCCGTGGAGGGTAGTGGCCAGCAAAAGAGCCCAGGTGGGCCCTGCTGGCCCACTGGCTCCCAGGGGCCGAGATGCTGAACCCTGTGTAGATTAGGGGGTGGGGCGGGGGCGGTCCCAGCACGCAGGCCCGTGAGGGGCCAGTGTGGCAGCCAGCTTGCTTTGGCCCGGAATTCAGTCCTAAAGGAAAGTGGTTGTGGGAGCGCTGCCTGTGGTCTCCTTGGGAAGAAGACCCAGCGAGGGCAGAGCAGTGGGGCCGGGAGTGGCCTGCAGAGCCCGGTGGTGGCTGACCTCGCCCCTGGCACCTCACTGGGAGGACGCCGGAACCCAGCTTCCCAGCATGCCCACCTCGGGGCTGCCGGGGGCGCCGGGGCAGCCAGAGCTCCAGCGTGCCGAATGCGCGTTCCCTGGTGCCCTCTGGGGCTGCCGTCAGCAGGTGGGGGCCTGGGGCCTCCCGCCGAGGGCCGGCCCCCCAGGACAGGGCCAGCCAGGACGGCTGCCATCCCCACTCGCCGGCTGTGCTGTCCGGGACTGGGGCCTTCGAGCACTAAACCTGCCCAGAGAGAACCTCACGGCACACGCACCTTTCTGCAGGTAACATCTTACTGCTGGAAGGGAGGGAGAAGTCCGAGAATCAGAAACTGATGCTCATCGACTTCGAGTACAGCAGCTACAACTACAGGTAGTGTGTTCAAGGGTTTTTATTTCCATGCGGTTTTGTCTGGGCACGCCTGTGAAACAGTCATGGGGGAGGTGGGTGACAGGACCGTTCCAAGTTAAAGTTTCTTCTGGAAACCAGTGCTGTTTGTGCCTGTGCCCACGATGACTGAGTGGGCGGCACAGCCCGTCCTTGGCTTCTGCTGGAGGGAGCAGGGCTGGGCGCGACCGGAATCCAGAGCTGGGCACCGTTCCCTGGGCTCACAGGTGGTTTCCTGTCGTCAAAGCACTGAGAGCAGGAGAGTGCTCTCGGGCGAGCTGGGTGGCAGTTTGGGTGGCGCTTTGTTGCTTCTCTTGGCTGTGGTTGTGATGTCAGCCCCTGTCCCTGTCCCTGTCCCTGAAGCAGGGCTCCGCTTGGGGCCTCAGGCGTCCAGCTCGTTGCCGTGAGGGGTGCTCCTGACCCAGCCTCTTTCTTTCTGTGAACGGGGCCTCCCGGTGGGCGGGTCGCCGCATTCTCTGCATGCGTTGCCTCTCTTCCAGGGGATTCGACATCGGGAACCATTTCTGCGAGTGGATGTACGACTACACCTACGAGAAGTACCCCTTCTTCAGAGCGAACACCCTGCAGTTCCCCACGAGGAGGCAGCAGGTGGGCGCCGGGCGCGCCCGGGCTGGTCGGGGGTCCCCACGTCACTGTCACGCAGTTAGTGTGGCTGCGTTTGCGTTTTTGAAGATGCTTTTCTTAAACGGGGAATGGTTAGGCAAACCCTTTTGCTTTGATGTGGGTTTTTTTGTTAAATGTAGACAAACGCAGACAAAAATCAGACTCGACTTTTGAGTCTGGCTCCGCCAGAGAGGAGGGCAGCCCCCTTTGTGGCTTCCTCTCGTTTCTCTGAAACGCGCAGCCCCTGCTCTTCGGCTGTCCCTGGCTCCCGTCGGCTTCCCGCCGTGCAGAGAGAAGAGCCCCCGGGCACCACGAGTTCGGAGCCGTGGCACTGTTACGGTCCTCCCTCCTGTCCTGAGTTGGGGGTCCCAGGGGCAGGGACCGCCTCCCGAGAGCCCCTCGCTCCCACCCCTCAGCCCCCCGCTGCAGCCCGGCTTGAGGATCAGCAGGAGGCGGTGCGGAAGCCGCGGGCTGGGGCAGCGCTCCAAGCCTGCCCCTGTGAGCCCGTGGTGGTGGGACGCTCCGTGGGCGTCTTCCGGGACGCACTCACGTGAGACGAGGGGTGTCCGTTCTTGGCAAGACTGGGGGCCTTGCTCGTCACGTGTCTGGGCCTTGGACTGTTTTGGAGGGAAGGTGGTTGATTTCTGTTCCGGTGGGGCGTTGATCGGTCCATCTCCAGTTTTCTGTCCTCATCTGCCGGGTCCAGCGTTCAGTGTGTCCCAGAAGTTAGCCCAGCTCGTGCGGCGGCTCGGGCCTGGGCTTCAGAGACGAATCTGCCTGGGTCGGAGCCCTGGAGCCTCCGCCCCCCGGGTGTCTCTGCCCCTCAGTGCCCTCGCCTGTAGAATCTGCTCGGCCGCGGAGAGGGAGCTAACGTTCAGGAAGAGCCCCAGGCCGTGCCGTCCCAGAGCTGGGGGCCCCCGGCTACGGCGGCGCTCAGGCCTGAGTGCTGCTGCTGGTCGTGGGCCGTGGGAGCTGGTGAGAGGAGGAGGTGGCAGAGGCCACACGGGGGAAGGGGCGGCGGGGGCATTCCAGCCAGGTAACCGGCTGGCGAGGGAGGGGCGGCTGGCAGCCGTTCCCTTGTCCTCGGAGGCAGGCAGCGGCGGTCTGCCCCTGGGTGGGGTGTGAAACGGTCAGCCTGGGGCGACCCTCGGTGGACTCTGTCGTCTCTAAGCCAGGGTTAGATGTTGCCGCTTCGTGAGCGTGAGTGGGTGAAAACCGTGGCATCTTGGCTGGGGGGCTCCACTCCGGGGGGGGGTGCGTCAGGAGGCCCTTCAGAGGCGTCCGGCCTGCGGGCCGCTCAGGTCGCCAGGAGTGCGGCCAGCACGAAGTTGTGACCTGAAACGTGGGGTTTCCTGTGGGGCGACAAGTCCTGGTGTGTCTGCTGTGTGGCTCGAGACGACAGCTCCGCTTCCGGTGCGTCGTGGAGACACCAGGAGAGGGGACGCCGCTGCCGGGTGGTGCCGGGTGGGCTTAGCCTGCTGCAGGGCCGCACAGTGCAGAGCGTGAATGTGGTTTAGAGTGGAAAAGCCGTGCCAGCTAAGTGACTTCCTCCGGAAGGAGCCTTAGGTGCCTGCACCTGCCGCCTCAGCCCCGCGGCCCCAAGCCATCAGAACTCTGACGCCCCCCGGTGACCGACCGCTCCAGACGAGGGGGCCCCTGGGCCCCCTGCGTGCGGTCCCTCCACCCGACCCAGGTGCGTGTGCTCTCCACGGCATCCATCGCTGACCCTCACCGGTCCTTCCTTTGTGTGTTTTTTTTTTTTTTTAGCTCCATTTTATTTCCAGTTACTTGGCCGCATTCCCAAATGAATCTGAAAACCTCAGTAACGAAGAAAAGGCCGCTATGGAAGAAGAAATGCTGATTGAAGTCAATAGGTAACGTTTCTCCTTCGCTGACCTGGGGAAGGATGGCCGGCCTCTGTCACAGGCAGCGAACGCAAGGCCTGTGGCCGAATGCGGCCCCCCGCCCGGTTTTATCTGGCCCGGCGCCTCGTTCCTGCCCGGCGGCAGCGCTGAGCTCTCGCTTAGCTGCTACGGAGCAGTTACGTGTGTACAGTCCTAAGGTTACATTCGGCCCTTTGCAGGCAGCTCGGTGACCCTGGTCACGCTGAGTGTGGCGCCCTGCTCTACGTAGAGTGCGGTGGGGACGCCTCCTGGCTGTGGAGTGTTCTAGGAGCGCTCAGCAGCTGTGTGTGCCCCAGGGCCTGGGCTCCGTGCAGACCGTGCTGGCGCGTCTCCGCGGCTGAGGGCGTCCCGGCGTCGGCGGGCAGGGAGAGCCGGGTCTGCACACGTGCAGAGGTGGCACGGCACGCTCGCGTGGGGTTCCACCCCTGTACCCCGTGCGTGGGACTCGCTGCGCGGGCTGCTGCCCAGGCCCGCACCCTGGTCTCCGATGCGCGTGGACTGGCGGGTACCATCTGACAGGGAGCCTCCTAGAAAAGACCGAAAAATGTATCTGTTGGTGCTGAGTCCTGTCCTTCATCGGCTCCGATGGCGGGGCTTGGAGACTTGCAGGCCCCACAAAGGGCCAGGCCTGAGTTACCGAGGGTCTGGGGGGTTTCCTGGGAGACTCTTTGGTGTAAGGAGCTGTGGCCCACCTTGTTCTGGCTGCGCCAGTTCGTGCGGCACCTCTCTGTGGTCCAGAGGGAAGGGGACGGGAGGTGGGCAGGGGGAGAGAAGCGTCCACGTGTGAGCGCGGTGGCAGTGGGCTGCCGCCGTGCGCGTCCCGACCGGAGTGCGAACCTGCCGCCAGCCGCTGGGCAGCCGCACCAGTCGGGGCTCTTGGTGGTCCTCCGACCCGTCCACAACCGCCCCCCAAGTGTGCGGCCCGGGCCCTGCCTGCAGCGCAGCTGGGAGGGGCCGGAAGCAGGCGGAGGAGGCCCACACGGAGGGGGCGGCGGTGGTCCAGCACTGCGGGGTGAGTGGGGGGAGTGGGCAGGAGGCTGGAGTGCTCGTCCAGGATTAGAGGTTTTCTTCCATGGTCAGGAGCCCAGAGGTGTGAACGCAGGGAAGGTGATGAACGTGGTGGCACAGGCGTGGGGCAGCCTAGAGCGCGACCAGCCCACCCTGACCTGTGCCTGGTTTCTCGGCCCTGCGGGGGGCGGGGGTGGGGCACCCCCTGCCTGCCCGCCCGCCTGCCTGCCTCAGGGAGGGCAGCTCCTGCTGGAGGCCCGCGTCTCCCCCCTGGGCCGGTGCGCGTGGCAGGTGCTGGTGCTGCACCCTCCCTCACACGGGCACGGGGGTCTCTGTGTAGCCCCCCCGTGCTTCGCTGGCTCAGCCACTGCGGCCTCACGTGCGCCCTGTGACCGCAGGTCTGTGTGCCAGGGACAGGTGGTGGGTGTGTCCTCACCTGCCCGAGGAGGGGCGAGAACGGCGGTGGCCCAGCGCTGGGGTCCCTGGCCCTGCTGAGCCTGCCCAGGCGGGCACCTGGTGGCCCGATGGGTCTGAACGAGGTGGAGTGTCCGTCCAGCAGGAGTGACTGCTGGTCCTCTGGCGGGTGCTGCGCGGGTATTCACGTGGTCCCCTGCTTCTGTAATTACAGGTTTGCCCTTGCGTCCCATTTCTTCTGGGGACTTTGGTCCATCATACAGGCCAAGATCTCATCCATTGAATTTGGATACATGGTAGGTGTGTGGGGTGTGGTTTCTCCGTTCTTCTCTGGGGGAAGGGCTGCAGTGTGTGTGGGTGCTCGGTGGTGAGACAGGGATCCTCGGACGGGGCTGCCCGTCCCCACGGGAACCCACACCAGGGCACCGGGAGCTGCGGGACAGGGGCCGCATCGCTGAAGGCACTCTGGCTGACCCTGTGTCTGCCCGTGCTGGCCGGCCACCTCCCGCGTCCGCGCAGGGCTGTGCGGGCCTGTGCTCCCGAGGGGGGCTGTGGAGACTCAGACGCGAGAGGCCCAGCCCCTCCTCAGGCTCCACCGACGCAGGGACGCCGAGGGCGGCACACAGGGGTGTGCGGGTCACCTGCTCCCAGGCCGTGCTCTGGCCCCCGGCGCCCAGCGTAGGGGTGGGAGCTGGTGCTGACGGGGCTAGACGCCCTCCTGCAGGCAGCCCTCAGCCGGCGGGGCGGAGCCGTGCCGCGCTGTCAGGGGCCTGGGCGGGACCCCTGGGTGACAGCGGTTCCTTGTGTCCGCAGGAATACGCCCAAGCGCGGTTTGACGCCTATTTCGACCAGAAGAGGAAGCTGGGGGTGTGACGGCCAGGAGGACTTCCTACACTCCACCCCGGGCCGCGCGGGGCGGCCGGGCCGACAGGCCTCCACTGCGACTGCGGTCCCTGCGGCCAGGAGCCTGGGCGTCTCGCTGCCGCACACAGATGTGTATGATACGAAAGACTGTATTAAAATTGAGTAACATTTATTTCATATCTCGTCCTACGATTTCACTAGGCCTCTGACAGGAGCTCGGCAGCAGACACACAGTGCGATAGTGCAATAGTGCGGTAGCTCGGGGCCCTGCCGCCCGGGACGGGGGCGGGCCCGGGCCCGCCGGCGTGCGAGCGCGCTGCTCCTGGCTAACGATGGCCTCTGCGGGACTCGAAGGGGCCTGCTGCTGAGCACTGAGCCGGCCTCTGTAGGAAGCCACGTGTGCAGACCTTGTCACTCCCAAGGGTGGCGGGGCACGGACGGACAGTGATGCTGCTGGGCCCCCCCCCCCGCCCCAGTCTCTGGAAGCTGCTCTTTCACCCTTTGGTCCAATGGCAGACCCTCGAGACCACGGCCCACGCACGACAGGTGCAGGCTGCCGTCTCCATGCTGTGAAGGTCGTGCCCAGGGCCCGGGGCGAGCTCCGTGGTGCCAGCGCCTCGGTCCCTCTGCCATGCCCCCTCCCCACTGGATGTGCTTTACCGACCCCGGCCTTAGCCCGAGGCTGGGGCGGGGCTGTGCAGACAGCCACCCCCCCCACCCCCACACCGGTCTGCCTTCCCTGAGCAGAGGAGGGCTCCGTCTCCCGCCCTGCAGCCTTTTCTCCCCCAAGACTCTGTCCACCCTGGAGCTGGCCGTCGTGTGGCAGGGCTGGCTGCCCCCGGGGCCCTGGCACCTTGGTGTGCCCCACGGGGAGCCGGAAACCTCAGCCGGGGCCCCGGGCGGCCGGGGTCCCTGCCCTCACCCTGACACCCCGACATCGTCCCGGTGGGAACCAGCAGCCTGTGACCCGAGGGGGCGTGGATAGCGTGTAGCTGTGAAATTCATTCATGTTAACTGTCCTTGGGATAAATGCCTTTTTTAAAAAACCTGAAATCTTATTTGAATTGTTCTGTGCATACGTTTCTGCCACCACAGAGATTGTACTATACGATCAGTGGAAAAATAAAAACCATCGTCAGCTGTCACCCGTGGCTGTGTCCTGAGTCGTGCCGACCATGGCCTCTGCGCGCACTGGTGGGGCGGCAGGGCCTGGGCCTGGCGGGGGCGGGGGGGGGTGTGCCCCAGCATTTCCCATGGACATTCAGTGTTTAACCAGGTGTGTGTGTGGACGTCCGAGCAATGAAACTGAGCCACAAATGACACTGGGCTCCTGCTTCACATAGAGCTGCCAGTCGTCCCCTGCCCCGTGCCCGCAGGGCGGGGCGGCCATCCCTTGCTGCCTCGCCCCCGCCCCAGCCTGCCTTCTCCTCCAGACACCAGGCGGCTAGCTGTCTCCTCCACCGGGGTGCGCTGGGGCCTGGCCTGCAGTGATGGGCTCCCCCTGCCCCCCTGCGCTCGGCTCCCAGCCGTTCTCGAGACCCCCACAAGTACCCCCCCTGGCCCAGCACTCTTATTGCGCGTGCACGGCTTTTCCCGAAACTCGGACCTGTTCTCTCAGCTCCCTCCTGCGTTAGACTGAGTAGGGGCCAGGCCTGTCCTCAGTGCAGGCGACCTGCCTGTCCCTGTGTCCGCTGATGACCTCTACACCCCAGACCCCTGCCACACTCAGTGCAGCGCCTTTGTGTACGTCCCACCGCACCCAGGCTCCTCCCGCTGGCTGCCCACCAGCCACGCGTCAGCCAAGGCAGGGCCCGAGTCTCCCTGGGATCACACCTGCCTCCTCACAGAACACCACGAGCTGCTCACAGCCCCTCTGTCACCCCCCTCTGCACCCCCCTCTGCACCCCCCGCAGCTCTGCTCCCCAGGAAGGTGTGAGGTGTGGGGGCCTGGGTCGAGCCCACCAGGTTCCCCGCAGCCCCTGGGGTCCGTGCACCAGCTTCCGAGGTTCCGCGCCAGGCGCTGACATTGTTTCTCAGAGCCAAGTCCACCAGGCCCGTGGGGCTGCCTGGCCTCTGGGCGCCCCGAGGGACAGCCGCCTCCCAGCCGCTGGCCAGCTCAGAGCCACAGTGATGGGGCTGAGTCCCCTGCCTCGCCGTGCCCAGGGCGTCCAGCCTCGGGGAGGCCTTTGTTCTGGGGGTTTCCCTCTGGAGAGAGCGGGGCCTCCGAACAAACAGTATTGGCTCCGCCTCCCAGCGGGCAGTGGGACCCAGGCCAGAAAACTCCAGGACACCACCCCCAACCCCAGCAGAGGGAGGGCGGCGTCAGGGTAGCCGGACTGCACGCCCAGGGAGGTAGCAGAGGCCGCAGCCTCCCGCGACCGCGAGGATGGGCCCGGGGTCCCGCTCAGCCCTCTTCCCAACCCTGGCAGCTGCCCTCTCTGCCGGATGGTGGCCGCCACAGCTCACCCCGTGCAGAGCGTCCCAGGCTGCTCTCCGCGTGAGAGCATTGCGTGCCTGAGGCCGCCGCCAGCAGCACGAGGGGTGGGACTGTGGCCAGTTCGCACCAGGCGCCGCCCTCCCCACCCGGGGCGTCTGGGACGTCTTCGAGCAGCCAGCCCGCACACCGCCAGCGGCAGAGGCTGCCCTCCGGGGCCCTGCCGGGAACACCCCTCCCCAGTCCTGCCCCCCAAGAGTTGGGGACTATCGTAGGTGTGCCCGTGGGTCCTCTCGCCTCGAGTGCTCGAGGCCCCAGCTCCCGGGCCGGTGCCTACCACCCTGCTGGGCTGCAAAGGAGGCAGTGACAGCCAGGCACCGAGGCTGCCCCCAGCCCAGGGCCCCGCCGCAGCAGCCTCCCCGCCCCCGCGGTCCAGACAGGACCCAGACACAGTCCTGGGCCTCGGCTCTTTATTCCGTTCCCGCCTCACTCCGGGAGCTGGGCGTGGCCCCCGGCGAGTGCTACTCATCCTCCACAGCGAAGGTGAAGGGGTTCAGCCTGTAGCCGGTGCCCGAGTAGAACTTGTTCTGGAACTCCACCCTGGGGGGAGGGGAAGGTGCCGGTGAGGGATGGGCCCCGCGCCCTGCCCCCGCCGCACGTGCCGCCAGCCTCCCCCGGCCACCCGGCCGCTCACCAGTGCAGCCGCAGCGCGTGCAGGAAGGCCGAGAGCCCCTCCATCACCAGCAGGATGGCCACGGTCAACACGGCAAAGCCGGCGAAGATGGGGACCAGCACCACGGCCGTCACGCCTATCTCTCGGCCCCTGCCCAGGCCCACACGCATCACCATGGCCCACAGCACCTCCGACAGCTCTGTGGGTGAGGGGGGAGCAGTGGGGACCTGGGGCCGGGGTCTCCCACGCAGTCCCCTCAGTTGCCCGAAACCTCCTCTGAGGTCCCCACATCACAGAGGGGGACCCTGGGGCCTGGAGAAGTGGCCTGCCCAGGCTGCCCAGCCGGCCAGCAGCTGTGCATGTGCGGGGTGGAGCCAGGACCTGGCTGTGGCAGGCCACCCACCACGCAGGTCACTCACGGGCATGGGCCAGGCTCAGGGCCCAGAGGCGCAGGTAGGAGGCCGTGTTGGAGATGCAGCCCAGGCAGAACTCGATGGTGTGGATGGCCTGGTGCATGAGCACCTCAGAGAGAGCAAACTGGGGAGGGCACGGGAGGGGGGAGGGGCGGCGGTGAGGGGCGAGCCAGGCCGGCCAGCCGGCCGCCACCCCTTCCCGGGGAGGCGCCACACCCACCTCGGCCTCCTCGTGGTCCCCTGAGCACCCCGCCTTCTCCTCGTCAGAGCCCCAGCCGGCCACGGACGGGTCTCCCGAGTCCAGAAGCCCCGTCTTGACCTCGTCCTAGGAACAGGGAGCGGGCGGCATCAGCAGCCCCGCCGCGGACGGGCCATGCGGCCCCTCGCCACTGCCTGAGCACCGGGGGGCGTGGGGCTGGCCCGGGGTGTCGTGGGCTGGCAGCGGCACCACCCTACCTGCACTTGGCCAGCGTGCCTCCTCTTCAGGTGACGCCAGTGCTTCCAGTGGAGGAACAGGGGCGTGCCGAGCAGCAGGACGGGCACCGTGGCCAGGGCCAGGACCACCAGTGCGGACTGCACCGCCTCCTGCAGGGGCGGGGGCTCGGGTCAGGGAGCCGCTGCGGGCGGCACACCCGGCTCCATCCACTGGCAGGGCCCCCGGGAGCCCCGCACAGTATGGCGAGGTAGTCCTCCCAGAGAAGGGGCTGCAGGACTCTGGGACCCATCGTGTGCCCCCCAACCCCCACCACGCCGGGGGCCTCCTGCTGCCCAGGCCCTGGACCTCCGTGTCTCTCCGCCTCGGGCCTGCACCCCCGTCTCTCAGGCGAGGACCCGGCAGCTCTGAGCGGCCCGGTGACCAGGGGGCGGCCCCTGCAGGGAGGGCCCACCCCGGCCCACCTGGCCAGGGAAGAGTGGCCGGTTGGTGGGGCTGCGGGAGAAGAGAAACATGTTGATGAAGTGGATGAGGATGCTGGGGGCGGAGGTGGCGCCGGCGGCCGACACGCGCAGCCATTTGTAGCAGATCAGGAAGACCAGGTAGCCGAACAGGCCCAGGAGGAAGACCAGCTCGGGCAGCGTCTCCAGCAGCAGCCGGTGCCACTGGCCGAAGTGCCTGGGGCGGGAGGGTCAGGTCAGCACAGCGCAGCGCCCCGGCCCCGCGGCCCCCGCCCCCGCCCCCGCCGGAGCCCGGGCCCTCACACGTGGTTGAAGACTCCCAGGACCACCCCGAAGGCCATGTGGGTGACCCCCAGGATGACGGACATCTTCATCTTGAAGGAGTTGAGGAAGCTCAGGTGGTTGACAGCCAGGCTCCAGATCTGGGGTGGCGGGGTGGGGGGCACGGGTGTCACGCAGGGGCCTCCAAGAGAGCCCCTTGCCACTCTCATCAGCCTGTTTGTCCCCTTTGGGCCTCGGCACCATCTGCCCACCCCTGCCCCCGCCCCGCCCCCGAGAGGCCGCAGGGGCTGCTGGTTAAGCACAGACCCAACCCAGGCTCTCCCCACCTGGGTCCCCTTGGGCACGGAACCCCGTCAAAAGGGAACAGTGCTAACGGGGGGGGGGGCTGTCACGTGAGTGACATGTAAGGCCACTGCACACAGAGGTCTCAGAACAGAGGGCGCCACAGGGACCGCCTGCTGCCGCCACCACGACACCCTCTCTGCCCTGTGCGGTGCTGCAGGGGGGGCCACGCCTCCTGCACCAGAACCGGCCTCCGTCCCGCCGGCCTGCGGCACCCAGGGCCAGCCACCAGGACTCACGGGGTCGATGCCGAAGGGGTACGGTCCCAGGAAGACGCCGGTAACGTTGGGGTCCAGGGCGAGCAGCGGGTGCTCCGCCAGGAATGTGTCGCTGCGGCAACAGCGGGGCAGGGCGGTCAGGGCAGCGGGGACCGGCGTGGCGGGACCCGGCAGGGGGCGCCGTGGGGCGGGCCTCACCTCCAGCCGGACTGGTTGGCCATGGCGGCCACGCTCCAGCCCGAGGGGAAGATGGTGGTGGCGCGGCTGAAGCACTCGTTGTAGATGAAGCCGGTGTAGACGGAGAAGAGGCCCATGAGCAGCAGCAGGTAGCGGCCGCTGAAGAAGGTCCGCCAGATCTGCGGGCGGCGGCCGTGAGGCGGGGCCGGGCCGCGCTGCGCCGCCCGCCAGGGCCCGCCCCCCTCCCCCCACGCGCCCTCACCTCGTTCTTCGCCGACTTCACGGCCGGCCGGTCCTCAGCCAGCACCATGGCCAGGGCGAAGAGGAACATGAGCAGCCCGTGGCCCACGTCCCCGAACATGACAGCGAAGAGGAAGGGGAAGGTGATGATGGTGTAGGGCGCTGCGGGGCAGGGGCCTGCGGTCAGCCGGGCCCCCGGCGCGCGACGCGCCTCTCCGTGCCTCTCCGTGCAGGGGGCCCCGGGGTGAGCGCGCTTCCTCCGAAACGTGGCGCGGCCCAGCGGGACACGCCAGCGCGGGTCTGGTCTCGCTTTGGCCCGCGGCCCCCCGTTTGCCACACCTGACGACTGTTCACCTCTCCGGGCCTCGTTCCCATTTTACAGGTGAGGCCACTGAGGCTCAGAGACGCTACGGTGCTTGCTGAGGCGAGCGGGTCGCACCTCGAACCCGGCCACTCGTCTGCAGAGCCTCCT